ATTCCTGCTATCTTTTTTCAGTCGGTTTAATAATAAGTTGAAATTTATAATTAACGAGAACATCTTTTCTCATGTGATTTCTAGGCCAAGCAGAAAACGTGGTCGTTCTTAAAATACAAGAGAAGACCGGGGAAAGAAAAGGGGGAAGACGAAGGCTGTCCTAGTGATCCTGTTGGGTAGAGGTCAATGGAGCCATCTTGATGCAGGCTGCAAAACTACGTGGGGATTACCCGTTGTGGTCGTCGGGCTGATTTCATCGGTGAACAGTGGCGATTCCACCCGTGGGTGGAAGCGCCGTTTTCATCACCGTCAACGGCGAATAGTACAGCCACTTCCGCTTCCTCCACCCCACGTGGCCGAACCATTACCTGATAAGGTTGGTCCAAAGATTTAATCGCGTCTTCAGACGATCTTTAAGTTGCGTTTCTATGTAGATTCTTGAATAGTGTTTCTTCCCCCCAATCGGAAATTGCACTGGTGTAATTGGCTGTTTAATGGGTTCTATTGTTGGTTGGTTGATAAGGGTTATATATATCGAAAATAGTGATTTCGTATGTAGTATAAATTTGATATTATCGCTATCACGATAGTGTCGTGGAAGTATTATATTATGGATAAAGTGATGTAGGAAACAAAGAAAAATTGAACGTGGTGGTAAAAAGATAGAGTGAATTTGATTAGTGAAATTTTTGGGTAACTTTGAGGCAATTTATGGAAAATTAATTATCAAGTGTTATAGTTGTGATGTTTTAATGAAAAATAAGGGAAAATTAATCGAATAAAGTATAGTAGAGTAAATAGAAAATAAAATAAAAATAAAATAAAATAATTATTAAATATAAAATTAAATATAAAGTAACCATTAAGTATAAAAGATATAGTTACTATTTCTGAGTCATGTAATATAAAAATATAGCCACAGATATTTTAAACACTAAGCATAATATTTATATCTCGTTTTCAATTTGAATTTTTACTTATGTAGTGTCACTTTTAAGTTAATATTAATTGCTAGATATTTTAATAAAACAAAATGAAAAGTAATAAACAAATTTTATATAATTGCAACTTGTTTAAAATTCATTTAGAGGAATTATAAGAAAATAAAATTAAAATAAAATAAAATAATCGTTAAATATAAAAGTTATAGTCACTATTTATAAGTCATGTAACCATAATATTCATATCTCGTTTTCAATTTGAATTTTTACTTATGTAGTGTCACTTTTAAGTTAATATTAATTGCTAGATATTTTAATAAAACAAAATGAAAAGTAATAAACAAATTTTATATAATTGCAACTTGTTTAAAATTCATTTAGAGGAATTATAAGAAAATAAAATTAAAATAAAATAAAATAATCGTTAAATATAAAAGTTATAGTCACTATTTATAAGTCATGTAACCATAATATTCATATCTCGTTTTCAATTTGAATTTTTACTTATGTAGTGTCACTTTTAAGTTAATATTAATTGCTAGATATATTAATAAAACAAAATGAAAAGTAATAAACAAATTTTATATAATTGCAACTTGTTTAAAATTCATATAGAGGATTTATAAGAGACTAAAAACATGTTCAAAATAGCTATTGGCTGTCTGAACATGTGTATGACACATTTTAAATATCGATTTGCAATTAAGTTCGTCTCTTATCGATAAAAGAAGCCATTAAGTGTTTTCTACGGTGACCTGTCTCTACCCCGAGTGATAATGTACAGAAACACGCTTTAACACTCGCTGAAATATTTCCAACTCTGTTTTTAGTTTTGATTTTTATACATAATAATCCACCGTGTTTGAATTTCAGTGACGTATACATCTCGACCAATATTTTCTCGGTTGTTAAATGGAAAAGAAAAAGCTAATGCTGAATACAGAATCTGTAATAAAAGTACATGATTCTAGTGACATTTTCTAGGGACATTTGAAGCATAATATATTCAATAGCAAGATTATTCAAATTTTAAGAGATTTCTCGTGTGAGAAACATTTAGGTAAAAGACATTCTACTTTTCCTCTTACACTTGTCCTCGGTAATATTAATGCAGGTTTGAAAATAATATGACATTAAAAAAGAAAGGGAAAAAATGTATAAAATTTCAAATACGAAGATTAGATAATTTTTAAATAATTTTCAAGACGTGTGTTTAATTTTCTGCAATACAAATTGTTACGAGTATATAATAAATAAATAATGAAAACGTTAACAAGAAATAATATGAACGCAAATAAATAGATATGGAAATACATATATACAGGAAATAATAAAACAAAAATATAAAATAAAAATATTGACAAAAGAAAGTAAAGATAATATGAACGTAAATAAATAGATATGAAAATACATATATACAGGAAACAATAAAACAAAAATATAAAATATAAATATTGATAAAAGAAAGTAAAGATATAAATAAAAGAATAACCATAATATACAAAAAATATTACAATTATAAATAAATGAATAATAAACATAGAAAAATATGATCACAACATACATAAATAAATAATAAAGGTGTAAATAAGGTATAATAATAAATACCACACGTGTCACTAATTCTTTTTTAATAATCTCATTTAAATTTCATACAAAACCATTATATCGTGAGATTATGGCAATTTTAAGATTAATAATGGCACTATTAAGATTAAGATTGCCATTACATTATAAAATTATGGCAACTTCAGAGCCCTAAGAAACACTATGAAAATAATTTGTAAGCATATTTAAGAAAATCAAAGATTTATCTTACTGGAATATTTAATTAAATATTCATTAATATCAGAATGTCGTCGTTAATCACTCTCCTCCAGGTTTCCTTCGAAACAGAGTACTTTTATGGGAAGGTAGCACGCTCATATTTATCACATGTGCCTTTCTCTTTTACAACAGGACATTAAAACGCTTGAGTATGGATTCAATTATGAAAATGCTTTTACCCTCGCGTTGCCAATCTCATTTTCAACGATAACACAATTTCGATATATAATATCCGCTGAAACCTCGAGAAATCTCCATTTCTTCATTTGCATCCCGTTCTCGTTAGGTTAGGTTAGGTTAGGTTAGGTTCAACAAATTTCAAATTATTTATTTGTCCACGCGTGAGCATTTCTATTTACCGAATAATCCCATTTTTGTCGAATTTTGAATTTTTCTTCTATTCGAGCTTATACCAGTTGGGAACATAAATCCTTCTGTATTCGCATAATCGATGGCAAAGTCATGGCTTTCATTTATCGTCTTTCGCGAGTATCGATTCACGTGTCACTTATGTAAAAGCGGTGTTACATTTAGAAAGATAGATACTCCGACTGCCAATATTTGCATTAGCACTTTGACTACCTCTTCCTTCCTGTTATCTTATCGTTATCTGATTGTATCGATCCGTCAGTCATGCTGATGCGCGTTAAAGCACTAATTAACTACCCGTTTCGCGATGTTTGTCCTACGATTGAGGATTCTCAGAGCCTCGTTTGTTCCAAATTACGTTTGATACTTGATATGCGAATGGTGGTGAACAAATAGATTTTTAGAAGTGCCATAACTGTGACACGACGAAGTATAAAATAAATTGACGTTCCTTTTTTTAAGGGAAACGAAATGAAATTTTAATAGAGAACGGACAGAAATAGTGTAGTGTATTATTACTATTTTAATAATTATACTATAATAATAATTATTATTACTATATTTATACTATAATAATAATAATTATACTGAAATTATTATTATTATTACTATATTATTACTCGTGTGTCATTTTTCAGGTAATTATATAGTAATAGTAATTGTGTAATAGTAATTATAGTAATATATCATAGTAATAGTAATTATAGTAATAGTATAATAGTAATTGTAGTAATAGCAATTATATAGTAGTTAATTAGATAGTAATACCAATTATATAGTTATCAAAAAGTTTAGATGCTGCAACACTTTAAAAAATTTTTTTGCGTTTTTTTGTGGTGACGTAAATTATAATAACACTGTCAGAAGATTCACTCCAACGAGGCATTTACAATTTTAGACACGATATAAATTTTGTTAAATTTTCTAGAAAACGTAGTCATACGATATTTCCAAAAAATTAACTATAACGAAGTATGTAAAATTTTAGACAGGATATATTATGTGTATTATTAATCGTGAGTCATTTTTCAAGTAATTATATAGTAAATATATTTAAGTAGATAATTATATAATTATCAAAAAGTTTAGATGCTGCAACATTTTTACAAATTTTTTGGTGTTTCTTTGTGGTGACGTAAATTATAATAGCACTGTCAGAAAATTCACTCCAACGAGGTATTTACAATTTTAGACACGATATATATTTGGTTAAATTTTCTAGAAAACATAGTCATAGGATATTTTCAAAAAATTAATTCCAACGAAGTATGTGAAATTTTAAACAGGATATGAAATTTGCTGAATTCTCTGAAAAATATAGTAATCAAACTGCATTAAGAAATTAACACAAACAAAATATTTAATATTTTAAACATAAATAAAAATTTCTTGAATCTTCTGAGAAACATTGTCGCACAATCCTATTTGAAAATTAACACCAGCTAAGTATTTACAATTTTCAACACGATATAAAGTTTTGCATATTTTCTGGAAAGTATAAGCATATATAATACTATTTAAAAATTTACTCCAACTAAATATTTACAGTTTTAAACGTGAAATAAATTTTGTTAATTTCCCCGAAAAATATAGCCATTCCACGCTATTAAAAAATTAACTGCAACGAGATATGTATAATTTTGGACATGAGGTAAAGTTTGTTAAATTCTCTGAGAAATGTAGTCACGAAACTTCATTAAAAAATTAACACTAACCAAATACTAATTTACAACACGAAATAAAATTTTCTAAATTCCCTAAAAAAAAATATTGCGATGTGATCATGTTAAAAAATCAACTACACTAATGTATTTACAATCTTGAATATAAAATAAAATTTGTAAATTTCTCTTAAAAAACATTGCAAAGCGATCGTATTAAAAAAGACCAACTGCAATGAAACATTTCCAATTTTAAAGAAGAAATAAAATTTGTGAAATTCTCTGTAAAATATTTCGATGCGACCATATTAAAAAAGAGCAATTGGAATTAAATATTTCCAATTTTGAATATAAAATAAAATTTGTAAATTACTCTAAAGAAAACATTGCAAAGCGACTATATTAAAAAAGAGCAATTGGAATTAAATATTTCCAATTTTAAAGATAAAATAAAATTTGTGAAATTCTCTGTAAAATATTTCGATACGACCATATTAAAAAAGAGCAACTGCAATTAAATATTTCCAATTTTGAATATAAAATAAAATTTGTAAATTACTCTAAAGAAATCATTGCAA